GGAGAGTTCCCGCCCCCAGCGCCCCGCGCACCTGCATGGCGGCGCCTCCGGCTCTTCCCGACGCGCGGGGGGGGGGGGGTGCCTGGCTCGGCTCCCTTCTACTTCCGGGTCACGGGGTGAGAGGTCATCGCCTGCCGGAGGGGGCGGGGCGGGGCAGACATGGCTGCCTCCGAGCGAGCGGATTCTGAGGTAGCCCCCCCCCCCGACCGCCCAGCTGCCCGCTCCCCTGCGGGCGATGGGGCTGGGCTGGGCCTAGCGCTGGGCTGGGCTGGGCCTGACACTGTGTGGGAAGCGTGGTCAGGGGGAGCTGGGCCTGGCACTGGGCAGGGGGAGGTGGGCTGGGGCCTGGGCCAGGGCCAGTAGGAAGGGCCTGAGCCTGATGCCATTGGGGGGCGGGGGTGGGTTGGTGCTGGGTCTGGTTGCAGGTGTGGTGGGGGCAGCATGTGGGCCCAGGTCTGCCTGAACTGTGCAGTCTCCCTAATGAGCAGTAAACGCAGCAGAGAGTCCTGTGGCACCGTATAGACTAACCGATGTATTGGAGCATGAGCTTTCGTGGGTGAATACATGGTCTTGCGTCTGACGAAGTGGGCATTCACCCACGAAAGCTCATGCTCCAATACATCGGTTAGTCTATAAGGTGCCACGGGACTCTTTGCTGCTTTTACAGATCCAGACTAACACGGCTCCCCCTCTGATACTAATGAACAGTGTTGGTGCCCTGCTGTGACTGTCGTTCAGGGTTACAGTGGTGCTAAGCCTTGGCCTGTTGTACAAGGGGCTGCACAGACGTCTAGCAAAGCACAATCCCTGACCCAGACCCTACAGCTTTGGCTCGAGATGAGGCATGGTGTGGGGGTGAGGATGGAGCAGCAGCATGTATCTGCAGAGATGAGCAATATGCACTTTTAGCTGTAGAAGGGTTTTTGTTAATGGAGAAAAATAAGCAGCTTAGCGGTTGTGTTCTCTGGTCGTCTCCTGCCTAGTGATATGGTGACATGTTCCCCTTTGCTGCAGGTGGAAGACGCAGGACAGGTCTTCCTCCTAATGAAGAAAGACTATCGGATCTCCCGCAACGTGCGCCTAGCCTGGTTCCTCAATCACCTGCATCAAGTCATTTGGGCTGTGCCTGAGTCAGAGCTGGTGAGTACATGTGCCCAGGCTTGAAGGCAGGATGGCGCTGTGTGCTGATCAGTGCCCTCTGGCATTGGCAGTTTGGCCAAGTAGGAGAGAAGCTGTAGGACTTTTGGCCACCACTGCTCCTTGGCAGCCTAGGATTCCTGTGAAAGGCTTTAGCCCAATTCTTTTTGTCTGTTCCTTTTCCTGCTCCCCTGCAAGCCTGGCTTTCCCTCACTTGCTGTTTCTTTTCTCCTGTAGGTGAAGTCAGATAATGAACTGGATGTTCTCAGCATCCTGCCAAATGGATGGCAGCCACATGAGTCTGTCCGGCCTAGGCCCTATCTCCTAGTGCCTTCCACACAGGTCACCTTCCTGGCACGACAGTACCGCTTTGTGATTGAGCTCGATCTGAGCCCATCCACAGGCATTGTGGTGAGTGTATACGTCTCTGCGTCTCTCTGTGTACCCCATGGCTCTGCCCACAAGGCGCTCCTGCTGTCATCTCTGTTCTGGAAGGGCTTCCTCCTGTGCATTTACTGCCAGCATGCATCTCCCTTCTGTGTGCCACGAGAGGTTAGCTCCCACTAGAAGCAGTGTGTGCCAGCAGCTGCCACTTGGCCAGTGCCACTCCTGGGCCAGCTTCTAGCAGGCAAAACCCCTGCACCGATAATCCCTGCAGGAAAATCCCGCCCCTGTTGCAGGGGTTATCGGTGCATGGGTTTTGCCTGCTAGGAGCTGACTCAGGAGTGTTCGCCTCTCCGTGCTGGGGCTCTGCAGAGTATTACTAGAAGGATGTATGGTGTAATTCCATGTGCTAGGGTCCCTTTTCAATACACCAGGGGAACAGCTAAAATTTCCTGTTTGTACTTCTGCAGGATGACTCAACGGGGGAGATCATTTTTGATGAGGTGTTTCATGCCCTTTCGCGATGCCTAGTGGGATTGCTAAAACCCTTCCGAATTCCTGGTTCAGAAATTACCTACCAGCCAGAGATCTTTGTCACCATCCAAGCATATTCCTCCATCATTGGCCTGCAGTCCCACCAGGTAAAGTTCTACCTCCTTCCCCTCCCCCAATCTTTGTGTGAGAGCACTTTTTGTTGCCCTGGTTGCTGCTGAGATCCTAGGGAAGTGGAGACGGGAGTTGTCTGAGCACTGCTATATGATGCTGTAGTCTTGCTTCATGAGAGCCTGTAGTCGGGTGCAATGCTAGACTATAAAGGAGCAACTGCTCTAGTGTGGGCACAGCTCCATCGTGTATCTGTGGGCAGGAGGCTGAGCTTTGGCATATGTGGGCAATGCCAAGCAAAGAAGGGGATCTGTGGGCAGCAGCTTGCCATTAATTTAGGGAAGTACATCTAGGATATATTTTGCCCCAGTGTGACTTGAACTCTCTTCAGTTCACTTTTTTGGGCGGCTTCCTAGTGAGATTGGACCGTAGCTCAGGTGCTCTGTAAACCACACATGCAAGGGCAATTCCCGTTTAAACAACTGAATTCTGGTTGTTGGGGCCAGAAGACACCCATGTAGCTAATCCCTTCCCAGCAAAACCTTAACCCTCAAAAATCATGGTGTTACCATGCCATCTGCAGACCATCGCTCTTCTCACCCTGCTGATGCGTTCTATCCCTTTCCTCTGTCTTCTGTCTGTGTGTTTGGAATGTAAGCTGCTTGGGGCAGGGACTGCTTATTACTCTGTCTGTACAGTACTTGCACAATCGTGGTTAGTCCCTAGGCACGACCATAATAAACATAATGGGGACGCCTCCCTCTATCCTTCCCATTAGCCCGCTGTCACTGATGTCAACCTGAACTGCCCGCTTGTCCAGTTCTCCCGTAACCGTCTGTGTGCTTTGTTCTAGTTCATCTCCCCTAGCGACATTCAATTGATCTGCAAGGCCACTATCCTCTCCTCCTTCAGATCCTTTCTCAAGACCCACTTCTTCCATGAGGCCTTAAAGAAACTAGCCCGGGGCTGAGGTGCAGATGGAGATTGCTGTACATATGCGAGGGAGGAGAAGGGTGTATATGTGTGCAACTCATCTAAATAAAATTGTCCATATTCTAGTTGTTTCCCTCTCCCCCACTCTGTTACTCATCTCGGGGGGGCGGGGGGAGAATGGAGCTAGCAAGTTGTGTGCCGATTATCTCCTGAATTCTCTGCTTGTGTGTTGCATCACGTTCCCCTCCATGTCATCTTGTAAATTCTTTGGGGCAGGGACTGTCTCTTACTCTGGGTCTGTGCAGCACTCAGCATGATGGAGCCCTGATCGTGGCTGGGGCCTGTGGGTACTGCTGTAATATAAATGGTAAGAGCATCATCTCTGACCTGCTGTGAATTATCTGCTGTGATTGGGCTCCCACCTCCCTGACCAGTGGACTTCACTGTCCAATGCTCAGGCTTTTTCCCTAGTCTCTACCCTATTTTTTTTTTCTTTTGCTTCAGGCTACTGTTCCTTTATCCTGCCAATTATCAACAGGTAGTTGGATCAGGCTGCATGTGTGTTAGAGTAGAACAAATGTGCCTTCTTGAGAAATGTTAGGCTGAAGTTAGAGGCATCTAGGGGCTTGGACAAGGAGCCCTACTTCCTCCTGTTCAGTGCCTTCCCTCTCCCTGACTCTAGGGCAGCAGGAACCGCTTGCCCCAGAATGAGGTTGACAGGTGCATGTTGTGGTGGCTCCCAGGATCACAACACAGAGGTGGCTGGTGTGAGGCCTTTCTTGTCATGGCTTAATTACCTGCCATCTCTTGTGATCCCCCTGCATTTCCTTCGGGTAGTGCATGTGTGTGTCTGGATCAGTGGCTCAGATACCACTGTGATGGGTGGCCGTTTAAAACCCGAAGGTAATGTCTTTTCCATGTGTCTCTGGCTCAGGTGCTATTCCAAGGCTGTCAGCTGGATGAGACCAAGAGAGAGACCTTCCTGCAGGAAATTTACACGCAGCTGTGTGCCTTTGAGAATAAAGTGGCTGAGATGCTCCAACAACAGTATGAACCCAAGCCCCAGGTGAGGCAGGCAGAGGTGATGGGTGGATTGGAGGAGAGATCTAGGCTCTCTGGGGCTGCTTTCCTGCCCTGCCACTCCTCTGGGAGGGCTCATAGGATGCTGGCTTGTACTAAGATGGACATGTATGTAAGCCTCAGCTAGGAGTCTGTCCTTTTTGAGGAACAGCCTCGTTCAGTGGCTGAGAGAACAGCGCCTGGCTGCGGAGATAAGTGGACTGAGGGGTTTCCATATTAGGTAAGCAGGACCAAGATGTATTTGGGAGGGATCACGTGGGAAATATTTACCCTAGCTCAGGGTTATACAGTTAAGCAGCTGGATTTATTTGAGATCAGTGGGCAGACCCCACCTCTGCACTCCCGCTCCCAGGTAGTTCATGTCTGTGAATGGCCCACAGCGGAGTTCAGTGTTAGTACTAACATGGGAAGGGTGGCTTGAGCACCTTCCTTTTTGGTGTAACAGCTGACTCTTGAGCTGCAGAAACAGTGAGGCCCAGCTGTTCCTAACATCATTTTGAAACAATGGCGGCTGAGGGATTTTTAGTGCAGGATACAGAGATTAGCAAATTAACAGGAAGTGCCCTCAAGTAGCTGTTCGGGGTCATGGGGATTCAGAGCTCAATGCGACCTGTCCATAAGAACAAGATCTGCAGAATGAAATGGAGGGGATGGAGGAATAAGACTGACCCTGCAAGCGCCTGTGTGTGTGATGGGATCCCCGGGGTATAACCTGGAACTGGGGTACCACCGTGCCCCCTTAACTCTCCAGCCTGGGCTGTCTCTCAATGCTTTGCTAATGATCAACAGCAAACCCCTCCAGGCGCTGTGATCGCTCAGCATAACAGGAGGTGGAGCCCCACACCCAGCTAGATTACATGAATGCTCCCAGAGCCACTCCTGAATCACACAGAGAAAGGCACCAGCCAATCTCCCAATCCCCCAGCCTTGCACCCCAGAACTGTACCTGACCAGTGTATGTTTATTACCTAGTCCACCCCTCTCTCGATGTGGAGAGGACACACACTAGCCTTTGTAAACTGATCACCTCAACCAAAACGTACTGTTTTAGATAAAATATGAAACGTGTATTAATTACAGAAAGATAGATTTTAAGTGATTATAAGCATCAGGCACAAAAGGTCAGAGATAGCTACCAAAGAAAATAAAAATAAGCACGCAGTCTAAATGTTAAACCTTTTACACTAAGCAGTATTTGGATCAAGCAGTTTTTCTCACCTCACTGGATGTTGCAGGTAGGTTACAGTTCTTAATACGCAGGCTTCCCCTTTAAGCCTGGGACCAGTCTCCTCAATTCAAGTCTCTGTCTTCTCAGTGTTCTTGTTGCTTCCGGAGTAGGTGTGGGAGGAGAAAGGCCAAAGCCTAATGCCACTGTTTTCTGTTTTATATCCTCAGTCCATGTGCTTGGGAAAACACTAGCCCAGACATGTCCTGGTGGGCTTTGCTGAGTCACAGGGTTGAGCAATCCCCATTGTGTGGTGCTTCTCTTACAGAATTGTAAATCCCTTGTTTACAACTCCCCTGCTGATTTATGGTCACTTAACACCCTCCTGGGAGTGGATCACCACATAGCAGTGGAGACTCTCAAATTTACAACATATTTCAGTAACAACCATTCAGCAAAATCTCATCACTTCGTACACACTGATGATATATGTATTTGCACAGAACAATGGGTGTCAGCAGATCATGAC